AATAAATACTCAGTAGAGTTTGTTAACTTTAAAAGGAAAGAAAAAAGGAAGAAGTAGTACGGGAACCAGAAAAGTCTGGCCCCGAGGATCGTAGACCGTCCTCTTGGGGATCCGCCGTTATGGCACCGTACCCCAGCACAGCCCTCCTTGTCCTGTTATTAATCTGCAAGCAAACTGCCAACGTTCTTTTTTTTTTTTTTTTTTTTGAGTTTGTTTTTATTTATTTTGAGATAGAGAGCGGGAAAGGGGCAGAGAGAGAGAGAGAGAGAGAGAGAGAGAGAGAGAGAGAGAGAATCCCAAGGAGGCTCCGTGCTGTCAGCACAGAGCCCGACACCGGGCTTGAAGTCCTGAATCGTGAGATCATGACCTGAGCTGAAGTCAGACGCTTACCTGACCGAGCCACCCCAGGCGCCCCAAAACTGGCCAAAATTCTTAAGCCTTCTACCAAATAAAGAGAAAATCAGGGTGCCGGAGTAGGGGCGGGGCACCCAGTGGGACCAGCAACACCTCTGCTAAACCTCATCTTAGGTTTAAAGTCCTTATCAAGAGCTGGAGCCTTGCTCCAGGAAACACGAGCCCCGCTTTGGGGGAACCCCGCTTCTCTCCCTCCCCCTCGCTCACTTGCGCCCTCTCTCTAAAAAAAATTAAATTAAATAAATAGATGAAGGACTTATCAAGTTTCTGCAGAGAAGCTGGGCTTCAGCCTTCGGTAGTTAGTGAGTACCGGTAATATGAAGTCCGCGTCTGATTTCATCGAGTCTGACATCTCCATGACGGGGCTTTGGTTACATGTAAAAAACCAGCCTAGCCGTTGACAAGGAGCTATGGTTTTGTCTGTTCTCTGACCTTCCTTCCTTGGTTATACTCCTCAGACTGGTGGAAAAGGAGGTCCCAGCTCTGGCCACCGACTGTGTGCCCTCTTTCCCACTCTCATTCCTCCCAGCTGCCATCAGTCTGCATACATGTAGTATGGTCATTTCCGGGCGATTCTCGGACCTCTTGTTAACAGCAACCCCTATATAAGAAGCGTGCCATGCAGAAGGGCTATTAATCTCTTTCTTCTTCTACTTCCCTCCCCTCCCCCCCCCTTATGCCGCATTCTCTCAGTAGATTAAAATAAAAATGAAACAAAGAAGGAGGGTGCTCCTAATTGGTGAATTTTCCAGCTTTTCCAGATTAGCAGGAGGTCCCCGGGGAAAATTCTGAATGAGTATTACTAGTATTGTGAATGCTTTCAACAGGATGCTGGGAGGTGCCTAGGTTAAGGGGGGGCAGTATTGGGAACGCCAGGGTAGAGAAGCCCCCGGGGAGGTGTGGTGGTCAGGTCCAGCATGATGCGGTGGAAGAGCCCTGACCTAAAGCGGAAAGAGCTGGGCTGTAGGCCTGCACGGTCATGAACCAGCCAGGTGACAGCCACACGGGGCCGGTTTCCTGGTCAGGAGAAGCCGGAGAACCCTCACTGGCTTAGGGGAGCTCTGAGGGTTCCTGTAACATTAACTGTGATTCCTTTCTTCAGCTGCTAACCCACAAAACACAGTCACCAACTTCTAGAGCTCTTGAATGAAATTGATGTTCCTTAATGAAGCCCATTCTTAACCAGCTTAATTCTGTAACCAGTGTCTGCCAGATTTTAAAACCTGTCTTTCCTGTGTTTATTGTAAACAGCACCTTCTACCTGTATACTTCTCATTGTTGGTTTTTCCCAGTGACACTTCCCACTGCCCCCTCCCACCCCCACCCCCCGCCCCCAATCCTCTCCATCATCTTGTTGTTCATGGTCAATGATGTCGATGGTCGGTGCCTGTCATCCCAGACTTTTCTAGTTTCTAGGCATGAACAGATATACGTACATGTAAACATCAATTCTTTTGACTAGCGAGGGATCATAACATATATATGGTTCTGAAACTTGTGTTTTTATTAATTAGCATGTGACAGGCAAACATTACAAAATGAGATTCCATGAAAAGTTAAGTCCCCCTCACATCCTGAATCCCCCAGCTCCCCCCTCCTCACAGGCAGTTGTCTGTGTATCCTTCCAGAAGGTTTCTGGGTATATACAAATGTATATGTGTCCAGCTGAGTGTTTTTTAATTTTTTTTAAATGTTTACTTATTTTTGAGAGACAGAGAGAGAGTGCGAGGGAGCAGGGGAGGGGCAGAGAGAGAGGGAGACACGGAATCCGAAGCAGGCTCCAGGCCCCGAGACGGTGGGGCTCGAACCCACGAAACGTGAGATCATGACCTGAGCCAAAGTCAGGCGCTTAACTGACTGAGCCCCGCCCCAGGCACCCCTACATTTTGTTATTTAGAAGGCGGTCTGGTAAGTGGTTGGACTTATTTACAGCCCCACCAGGAATAGCAGAGAGTGGTGCCTGTTTCCTCTGCCCTTTCCACAACTTCCCGGTCACAATTCCTCATCTGATAGGCGGAGGTGACATTATGTTTGTTTGCACTTCTCTTACGTAAAACTGAATGTTTTTCAATGGGATGAGAATTACTACTGTTTCTTTTTTCTGTGCTCCGTTACGTCTTTGCCTTTGTTTCTCGTTCGCCCCTGTGAGTTTGTCACTTGCAAATTTATTTCGCAGACATTTAAAATTTCTGTATAGTCAAGATTGGTCTTTTCCTTTCGTGGCCTCTATGTTTTCACTCTTGACGAGAAAGATTTTTCCTACTCCGAGATGATTGAAAAGTTCCCCTATGTCTCCTCTACTGATACTTTTATAATTTGTTTTTTATCTTTTAATCCCTGAGCCAGGGGAATCTGTGCTTAATCGTAAGAATGAACTGTAGTTCAGCTTCCGTTTGCCTGGGTGGCTGGACGCTGAAAACCACAGATTGCCGGAGAACAGAACCCAGGACAAGGCGAGTTAGCATTGGGATATAATTCACAATTCCACAAATTAAAATGCCCGGTCTGCCGTGTACAATTCATGCCCACAGCTTCTGTTTCCCTCTCCCTCCCCCCACCACACACTTCTTTGGGACAGAAGAAAAGCCTTCCGCTTTGTTGCCAATTTGCCACTAATTGAAACACATTGATATTTATTCTCGGTATTGAGATGATCAAAAGGCTAATGTTTGGCCTTCTTATTGGCACGGAGGAGGTATTTCAGCCCGCTGTTTCTTAGTTACAGTTGCTACTTGATGGTGTGCAAGTGGGGGTGACTGCAGGCAAGCAGGAAACGGAAAAGCCGTGGTAGCGATTTTCCTCGGGGAAGCCTGCATTCTGGAATGTTGAGAGAATTCGTTTAGTTATTTATTTATTGTTATTTTTTAAAAAATATCTAAAGCCGTGGAGGCTGCTTAGCCTCATTGGTTTGGGGACTTACGATTTTACTGACTACTATCTTACTGGGGAACTTCTTCAAGCGTTTTCTAAAAAAACTGTTTTTTAAAAATTAATGATGATTATTTTAGCAAGCTAGCTCCTTCTATCCACAATAGCAACCAGGGTTATAGATTCCCTGGGCCATGGTTTCGCTACGCCAGCCTCCCCCACCCCAGGAAACGATGATGCTATCATTTGATTCTGCCAACTTCCTTAGAAATATTTTGGGCCTACGTGCAGGGTTTGATGCCCCTGTTTGAAGTAGGAAAGTGTCACTGAATCTAAAGCAGCCGCCTAATGCCTTACTGTCACCAGAACTAGGTAATGTGGCCCCGGCGGCTCTGAATTACCAGTTTCAGGTCTAATAAAACAAAAGCCACCCAATAAAAAAAACCCTCAAAGCCAGATAAAATCCACTGTGCTGGGGATGGCTTATTTTTGTACTTACTCTTTATGTCTTGTGTCAGGTATGTCCTTACAGAAGTATCCCTTGGGGTGCCGAGTGGCTCAGTCAGTTAAGCCTCCGACTTCGGCTCGGGTCACTACCTCACGGTTCGTGGGCTCGAGCCCCACATCAGTCTCTGCCCTGATAGTGCGGAACCTGTTTGGGATTCTCTTTCTCTTCCTCTCTCTGCTTCTCCCTCGCTCTCTGTCTGCTTCTCCCTCGCTCTCTCGCTCTCTCAAAATAAATAAACTTCAAAAAAAAAGTATCTGTTAGCTTTCTCCCATTGTTCTTTTGATAGCTGAAGTCTTCCCCATCAACGTTTTATTTTGCTTTTAAACGCACGCACACGCTCACTGGTGCTCAGCCTAGAAGAACTCGCTTAACTTGCTTCAAGAAAGCTAGTACAGAAAACTCTGGATGTAGCCCTGACTTGTTATTTTTTTTAGCCATAACTTGTGAGTTGTGCCGGAAGAGGTGTTAGCGATAATCTGGCATTCCATACAAAGAGACAGAGATCCGCAAAAGAGAGATAACTGCTTCAAGGTTGCAGATAACGGTCAACACAAGACTAATAAGCTTTGGACTCCCGGCTTAACCCGCTCGCTAGGATAACGCAGTGAAATCCGAATCTTTCCTTGTAGTTTTCTTTAGAGTTTAAGGCTCATGCGGTGTGCTTAAATAATGAGCTGATGGGGGCACCCTTTAGAGCAAATCTGTCACATAGAGTAGCACTTTTCAAAATGGATTCCAGGTGTGTGAAGACACATTCGCACGGAAGAAAGAAGGCAGTATTGAGAACCCGGCTCATTTTTTTACAGGGCGTCTTGGGGGTGCTAACGTCTGGGCAAACACCCTTGAACACTGACACCTATAACTCAACACCCGAGGAATTCCTGACTCAGATCGCTCTGTTGACGGGAATAATCATTTCGGCATTGGTCACTGGGAGGAAAAATGATCTCTACCTGTCGCGTTGGTCAGCGGCGGCTCGGTGTCCGTGGCCGCGAGTCCTCGGCTATGGTTCTGTCGAGGGCCTTTACTTGGGAAGTCTGTGGTGTCGAAGGTCAGAGCGGGAGGAGGAGGAGAACGGTTCAGGTCTCTTCTGGCCAGTGCCAGTCAGAGTCTGTAATCGTCACACCTGGCCTGGGAGAGCTCACTTAATAACACGATAGGTAAACTGAGGTAATTCACCCACCGTTGGACCTTAACGAGATGTGTGCAGAACACAGCTTGAAGGAGACCGGAGACAGAACCTTCTGGATGAACTCATAACCCGGGAGAGGCTCCTTCTGGCATCCTTTAAGAACGAGGGGGCAGAGCCCGATCTCATCAGGTATGACGTTTTCCTTCATGGGGATTACGTGGTTGGGTGAAAAGCGTTCTTGGCCGAGATCACGGATGTGTTTCCCGAACGGCTCGATTTAACTAGTAAAATCTACCCCGCCCCTTTACAGCGTTTGCCATGTCATGGTCTCTCTCTTTAGCGTTCTTTAATTTTCTGGATTGAGTAAGCCGGGTATGTTGGGCGGAATCTCATCCTGAGGGAAGACGGTTTGCGTGGAATACGGACCGGGTCGGAAAAGTTCCTTTGCATCCTCTAGTTGTGCTCTCTGCCACGTGAGCTGTCTTTTTGGCTCCCGAAGTCACGTGTTCGCCTGGGTGGGGAAAAGGCTTCCCCATGTGTGTGTTTTCACTGGCACGTTTGGGAAACTGTGTCCTAGCGAGACTGTGGTCCGTGCTCACGAAGGTAGGGGAGCACGGCCGTTGGATCCTGGCCCGTTCCGTGCCGGTGAGTGATTCCCACTCTGTGGAGGGGACAGCCGCTGTCCGCCCAGCTCTGTTGGAACACCCAGAGGAGCGGGCCAGCTCTCCAGGGTTGGGGTTAACGAACCCCATGTGCTTCCCTCTTCGGAGCTGTCCACACAGCCCCCTTCCAGAACTCCTGTAACTTCATCGTGGGAACCATCACGATGGTTCGAGGAGATGAACTTCACGTAGAAACTCGCCTCTCTCCCTCTTTGCCACGAGGGATGATGCTTTCGTTCTGCGGAGTGGCTTGCTTCTGCTTAGTTCCTGGGTAGGAATGACATGGCTTCTCAAGGGCAGTGGTTTTTGACCTTTGGCCACGAGTTACTGGGCCCTGCGTCAGACAAATCGAGGGGGCGCATGGAGGGTCCCAGGTAAGTATGATATGCAGTCAGGATTGCAGACCACTGCCCTGGGGTAAGCAGAGGAGAAGGAAACAGTGTCCTGTTGGCCCCAGGCCTTGGGAGCCTGTGACCTAGGGATGCAAGAAAGAAACAGACAGGAAGCCAAATGGAATCCGGAGTTGTTTCTGTGGCGAAATAAAGCCCAGGAGTCAGGGAGGGAGGAGTCATGTCCCGGGCAGGGTGTGTAAGAAGCCAGAAGTGGGCCAGATAGCTCTCTGGCTGTTTGCGGTGATGAAGGCGGTAATCCAGGGCTGGCGAGACAGAAACACACGAGCTGGGGATCCGTGGCGCACAGTCAGGGCCACCTGTCAAGAAGCGCGTCTACGTTGGAGTCGAGAAAGTAAACAAAGGTGCAGCTGGCAGAGCCAACCGGAGAGGCCATGGGCGGCATCTAAATACCTCTGCTTGGTGGTCCAGCAGGTGGACCTTCTAGGTCTGCGTCTCTTTCTTTCTTTCTTTTTTCTTTTCTTTCTTTTTTTTTTTTTAACATTTATTTATTTTTGAGACACAGAGAGAGATAGAGCACAAGCAGGGGAGGAGCAGAGAGAAAAGGAGACACAGAATCCGAAGCAGGCTCCAGGCTCCGACCCGTCAGCACAGAGCCCAACGCGGGGCTCGAACTCACGAACTGTGAGATCATGACCTGAGCCAAAGTTGGATGCTCAACTGAGTGAGCCACCCAGGCAACCCTAAAAAATTTTTAAGTAGGCTCCACCCCCAACATGGGGCTTGAACTCACAACCCTGAGCTTAAGAGTTGCATGCTCTACTAACTAGAGCCAGCCAGGCGCCCCTGAATCTGCATTTAAATTTTAAAGTGAGAGAGAGGGAGAGGGAGAGAGAATGAGTGGGGGAGGGGCAGAGTGAGAGGGAGAGAGAGGATCCCAAGCAGGCTTTGCACTGTCAATGTGGAGCCCGATGCGGGGGCTCGAACTCACAGACCAGACTGTGAGATATGTATGACCTGAGCTGAAACCAAGAGTTGGACACTGAACCGACTGAGCTACCCAGGCCCCTGGTGCAGAATCTGCATTTTAACAAGATCCCGGGGATTTGAATGCACCTTACAACTTGAGAAATATAGCTCTATATCTTTTGTTCTCTTTTTTTTTTTTAATGTTTATTTAATTTTGAGAGAGAGGGAGAGACAGAGCGTGAACAGGGGAGGGGCAGAGAGAGAGGGAGACACAGAATCCAAAGCAGGCTCCAGGCTCTGAGCTGTCAGCCCAGAGCCCGACGCGGGGCTCGAACCCACGAACTGAGAGATCATGACGTGAGCCAAAGTCGGACGCTTAAAGCGACTGAGCCACCCAGGCGCCCCATCCTTTGTTCCTAATGGTGGCACTGGGCATCTAAGTTACCCAAAGGGCTTATAAAAGACAATAAAGAAGAGAGAGACAGAGAAAGAAGAGGAAGGAAATACAGGTGGCAGGACCGAATCCTTGCAGAGAATGAGTGAGTAGCCTGGCCTGAGGCCTGGGTAGCCGTGATGGGGGGCACACTCCTCAGGTGCGTCTAACAGGTGGCGGGGGAGGCCGCTGCCCCGTGTCCACCCGCGGTGCCAGCTGAAAGCTCGAGTCTGCCGCGCACTTCCCGGGTGCCGGGCACGGGCTGAGCACCTCGTGTGCGTTTGCTCAGGAGGTCCTCGTGACGTCCATTTTACAACGGAGAAACTGAGTTTGGAGGGGTCAGGTAACTCGCACAAGACCCTGAAGCTGACGGGTCTCGGAGCGTGGATCTCACCCAGACGCGAGTGCCGTCACACGTGAACTCGCAGCCACCGCAGCGCGAGAAGTGCTGGGCCCGGCCCTGTTGCCCGCTGGTCTCCCGGCCATCTGGGCTTCGAAGTCATTGACCTTGGGGTGCAGGTATGCGTGCTGCCTCTTTCACTGCTGTTAGGACAAGGTGAGGCGATGGGTATGTGAAGGGCTTAGTGACGCAAGATGTTCCTCCTGGGGAACCGTGCCACCATCAGGCCTGGAGGAAGTGCCTGCTGCTGCCTCCTTCCCTCCCCCTCGGGAGTTCCTGCCCCCCCCCTCCCCCGAGGCCTCCTCGACTGACCGGTCTTGTTCCAGGGAGCCTGCCCCTTCTCCCCTTCCAGATCTCACTCTGTGTCCCCTTCCTCGGTGCCCGGCTTGTTACCGTCTTGCCCGCAGACAGTCGCAGGTTAACTCTCGCAGCGGAATCCATGGCTGCAGGGGCTTCCCCTTCGGGGGGGTTGTCCGCGGAAGCCTCCTGGAGCCCAAAGCAGATTGACTGTCAGGAGAATTTTAGCAAAGCTGGTGGATTAGCGTAGAGGCGTTGGGTCTCAGAGGCCTTCTGCGACCAGTGCCTCTTCCCCGTCCCGTGGTTCAGGCTGAGCCACATGCTGGGCCCACCCGTGTGGCTCGGAGGGGGACAGTTGGGGTGGCTTGGGGACAGGGAGGCCACACCAAGGCAGAACCGTGAAGCAACGAAGGCCGAAGTCCTCGGGGCTTGAAGTCACTGAGGCAGCTGGCCGGGCTTATTTACATGCTCTCGAGATGGAACCGAGGGAAGTGTAGATGCCATTGTGTCGTCGTAGCTCAAGGAACGGAAGTCCGGAATAGCTTGGAGTAAGCTTCCAGAAGCATTCTATTGAAAGGTGCGTCAGCGCCGTGGGGTAGAAGGGACTCCTGAGGAGCGATGTGAGGAAGGTGCGAATGGATAGGACGTTCCGTGCTGGGTGGCATGGGGGCTAGCCAAGAGAAGGAGGCAGTGTGGCCCTGCTGACCTCTGGGAGAAAGTCAGTCAGTACAGGTAAAAAGAGGAAAGCTTATGGTGGGTGGCCTGGAAGGTGGGTCGCTGGGGAATCCCTACGGAGCCCAGATTGCTGTCGACCCACCTGCAGGTGCTTGCTAGGGCTGCTGCAGGCACAACACTGGGGGCTCAGCTACCAGAAACGTCCTTCCTCACGGTTCTGGAGGCTGGAAGGCCAGGCCAGCGTGTCACTGGCAGTGTCGTGCCCCCTGACGGCCGTGACGGAGGGTCTGTTCTAGGTGTCTCTCCTGGCCTTTTAGGTGGCCGACTTCTGTCTGAGTCTTCACGCGGTCGTTCCCCTGTGCGCACACGTCCCCCTGACGTGTCTGAGGTCTGTGTGTCCAGCATCCCCTCTTCTTATAAAGATAACCCGGGGCATGTTGGATGATGGGCCACCCCAACGACCCCATTGTAACTTAATGACCTCATTAACGAACCTGTCTCCAAATACTGTCGCGTTCTGAGGTACGTACCAGGGGTTAGCACTTCAACCCCGAATTCACAGGAATTTTTTGCGAAAATGCACGTCCTGTGACATCCCAGGAGAATCTGGTCGATGAGAGGATGCGTGCTGGGTGAAAGCATTCTCAGATATTATGTAGGAAAATCCTTGGGAAATCTGCTTTCGGGCCACGAAATGGACACGAGACGGCGCTGACCCGACCCGCTGGGAAGACAGCACCGCCAGGGACTTACTGGAGACAAGAAATGGGTCTGTTGGCGAGCGGAGGAGCGAATGATTGTCACGGTCAGGTGCTGGCAGCAGATTGTCATCACCCGGAAGTCAGAGTTTCTGGTCTTTGATTTCACTCGCCTGGCGACATCAGAGTGTTATTTTTGCCCTCTGTACCCCTGGTCCCCACGCTTGAGGCCTCCCCTTCCACCCCCGACTTCTCGTACCCCGGGAACTCCTTCACTGGCCTTCGGAGGCTCTGAATTCACATGTAGACGTAACCAGGCTGGAATCACAGTTCAACTTGGCCTCTTGCGTCCTGACTGTCAAGGCCGCCTGGTCCTTTCTGATACCAGCCGTCAGGGACCTTTCGGCTCTGTCTTTGGAGGGACCTTGTTCCCTTCCCTGCCGGTCCGCTTCTGTGACACACAGCTTCCTCAGGCCTCCCCGCGGTTAATTCCCGGTCCTGGGCTCCCCGGCGTCCTTTCCTACTTCTCTGATCTCTGGACTCCTCTGGCATTTTTGTTTGCTTCTGTCATTCTTTAACAAACCAGCGTGATTTGCTTTGTTACCTGGCGGGGGCGGGGGTGGAGGCTCCGTGGCACATGTCTTTGCCTTGGGTCACGACCTACGGAGATGCGCTGGCCGGAAAGCCTTATCAGAACCTTCAAATGTGATAGACACGCTCTCTGCGGCACACATTGTCATTAATGCCAGACTGCCAGCACGGCGCATTCCCTGTCGCAGACCTGGGGCTAATCGGCTTGCTAATCAGTGTTTCAAAGCCCCGTGATGACCGGCAGCCAGAGTGAGGCATCGGTTTGTCCCATCAGGACCCACCGGGAGCCCGTGGAGCCCCTGCCTCTCCCTCTCCTTCCTGTTTCCTTTGTGTGACCCCGCTCCTCTCCTGCCTGCACCCGAACCCTCAGCCTCCTCTCTCCCGGGGGCCCCCCCACCCCTCCCTCTCCTCCTCTTCCCCCTTCCTCCTCATATGTGGCCTTATTAAGGAGAGAAGAGTATTGTCAGACCGCGGTTGGGATTAGCATTCCCCTTACACAGACATTGATGTGGCGATCACGCAGTTGAATGTGCGGCTGTCATGTGATGCGATCTTAGCTGCACCTTACGGATTACGGATCATTATTTTAAAGCAGTAAACCTTGATGGGAGACGGCGGGCTAAATAAGCGATGGTTGACTGACTTAGGGCCTTTGGAAACTTGTTAAAGAAGTCTCCGAGTAACAACGTCTCCTAGAAGATAAGCCGCGACTTAGAAGGACGCTGCTTTAAAATCCTCCTGTCCTTTATACTCAAGAGCATTGCTGAGTCTCACCATTAGTTAAATCTTTGTCTGTAGAGAGAGAGAAAAACAATCATTGCATACTCCACTGCTCGGTGAGCATCTCAGAGATTATGTGATTAACTCGGCTGTAGTGGGTGGCTAATTGGCTAAGCTTTAGTCGTTACACCAGCAGCTATGTTGAGGATTATAGGAAGTAGGAAGTTATTTAGACGTCGGGATGGTAGCTGTGTGTCAGGAATGGCGTATTAGGAAGGAGACCAGTTGCTAAAGTCAAAAGGATGACGGTGGAATGTTCCTGTTTTCTTGAAGTGTCGACGTTAGGCATTTGATGTCAGGTATCTTCCTTTGAGCTATTAAAAAAAAAAAAAGAAAAGTATGTTATTTCCAGTGTGTATTTCATGTCACTGTATCAGAAACCACAGTGGACAAAAGAAAAATTTACATTCAGTTTTACGTGAAAAGCACCCCTCCCCCATTTTAAGCCATTGAATGTTGGGTTTTTATTATTATTATTTTCAATGTTTTTATTTATTTTTGAGACAGAGAGAGACAGAGCATGAGCAGGGGAGGGGCAGAGAGGGAGGGAGACACAGAATCCGAAGCAGGCTTCAGGCTCTGAGCTGTCAGCACAGAGCCCGACGCAGGGCTCGAACCCACATACCGCTAGATCATGACCTGAGCTGAAGTCGGACGCCCAACCGACTGAGCCCCCAGGCACCCCAAGATGTTTTATTCCAAATTACAGCTTGAGTTATAAGAAGGATGATTCATATCTGATTCCACTTAGATTTCCTAAAGAATCATTGCTTGATATTTTATGTTGCCTAAAGTTTTTAACACATGAGCAACCCCTACTTTCCTAAAAGTAGGAATAGCTAAAGAATGCATAAGTAATATATTCACACGGATGAGAAATTTAAAAAGCTTTTGACAGTATTTGGTGACAAGCCTCCCTCCCACTGTGTTCCCCGCTTCTGGACATAAATATCAGTGTTAAAAATCATTGGCATATCAGGGCTCCTGGGTGGCTCAGTCAGTTGAGTGTCCGACTTCGGCTCAGGTCATGATCTCACGGTTCATGAGTTCAAGCCCCGCATCTGGCTCTGTGCTGACAGCTCGGAGCCTGGAGCCTGCTTTGGATTCTGGGTCTCCCTCTCTCTCTGCCCCTCCCCTGTTCACCCTCTGTTTCTCTTTCTCTCTCGAAAATAAATAAACATTAAAAAAAAGTCATTGGCATATGCTTCTGAAGTTCTCTGAAGCATCTACCAGCAAATATGAATATTCCTTATTTCCCTCCGTCTTTTACGCAAATGGTACATACTATTCTGCAACATTTTTTGGTCACCTGATCAGATGTATTGGAGAGCTTCCCAAGGTAGCAGGTTTTTGTCATTCATTTTGATAGTCTTGTAATATCTCGTTATATGCATGTACCATGATTTCTCTAACTAGCTTTCTATTAACAGACGTGTGTTGTTTCCAGTCTGTTATGCATATATTTTATATGTGTGCATATATGCTTACTACATAGATTTCTTCTACAAAAAAATGGTGGTGAATAACGTTAC